TAAAGGACATCGGGTCCTCCAGGCAGCGGAAGCTTCATCGACAACTGGAAGGAGTCTACCCCAACCGTGAGCGCATGAAGCGGTGGAGTGGAACCACGTCGCTGGAGATCAAGGCGGGCTTCGACGCTTTGGCACCGAAGAGGAAAGAGCCGGTGGAACCACCGGACCCGACGAACCGTCCGAAGAAGCGCACTACTTCGCGAGGACGGAGCTCGGCGACAGCAGCGCCGGCTACGACCACGGAATCCACTCAGGAGGCGTCTTCGGGGTTCAGCAGACCGTTGACAACAGCAGCGGCTATGACGACGGAATCCACTCAGGAGGCGTCTCTGGGGTCCATAGACAAAGTAGTGTCAGGTGCGCAGGGTCGTCAGGGGTCACCAGAGGTCTTCCACATGGAGGAGAGCGAGGCGATCCACGACATAAGCGAGCACACACTACTTGGTGAAGAGGCGCATCGAGACGATCGAGAAAGAGAAGGAGAGCACCATCATGCTGAACCAACTGCGCATGGAGCTGCACCGCATAAAACAGGAGGAGAAGTACTTGCTTAAGGCCGTCCGGCGAGCTTGCGACAACAACGAGGAGGCAATGATTGTCGAGTTTGACGTGGACGACTTGTCGGCCTTTGTGGCTTCAAGCACTACATATCTAAGAGCAGATTGCAAGGCTCAACGGCCGCAAAGGAAGTGAACTATCGCAAGCTCGGACCCAAAGATCGGGCAAGGATGGACGGGGCCATGGCCAGGGAGATCTCAGAGGTGCTGCGGTCCATGGCCGTGAAGGCGGCTTCCGAGGGCCTCAGTGAAGAGGAGGTCAAGGAGAGCATCATTCCGATGCGCTGGATTTTGACATGGAAGCCGGTTCCTGATGGCAAGCCACCCGGGAGCTTGGTGAACGAGGTTAGCTCGGAGGACGGCAAGTCCAAGGCGAAAGCCAGGGTGGTGCTCATTGGGTACAAGCATCCTGACCTTGCTCGGCGGGACGAGAGGACGGGCCAACCTAAACTGCTGACGGCCTCACCGACTTTGTCAAGACTGGGCCGAAGCATGCTGTTCCAGGCGGCGGCGCTGGACCATCACACCATTGAGTGTGGTGACGCCAAGTCCGCTTTCCTCCAGGCGGACGAACTGGCATTGGCCTTAGGAGTCACCCCAGGCACTCTTCTGGAAGTAGTGGGTGCAGTGTATGGACTCACGAATGCACCGCGCATCTTCTGGCTGGATGCGGACAGCAAGATGAGGGCACTGGGCGGCACACCCCATGACATTGATCGTTGCATCTGGATCTTTAAGGATCGCTCCGGCAAAGTGATCGGACGCGTGGGGTGCCACGTCGATGATTTTATCATCTCAGGAGACCACCAGAACTCCGAGTGGATGTCGATCCGGGACAAGATCAAGAAGATGTATGCCTGGAGCCCGTGGAAGTCCGGAAGCTTCACCTTCGCAGGCTTGGAGGTACAGCAACTCAAGAACTTCGAGATTAGAGTGACGCAAGAGAACTTCTGCAACAGCCTGCGGCCAAGCGAGTTCCACGGGGAGAGGACCAGATCCGATGGAGATCCCCTCACGGACAAGGAGACCTCCCAGTATAGGGGCCTGGTTATGAAGGCCCAGTGGAGAGCAGTGCAGACCGGGTTTCAATACTCGGCAAGAGTCGGCATCGCGGCGTCAGCTGCGAGCAAGGCCACGGTGGCCCACCTAAAGGAGGCCAACAGTCTGATGAGAGAACTTCGGAAGACGGCCAAGGAGGACATCGTCTACCACGCCTTCAACTTTGCACGCGAGGACAAGCTCTCGTGGGACCAGCTGGTCGCCGTGCATTTTGGCGATGCAGGCCATAACAACAGGCCTGATGGTGGTTCGACTGGAGGCTACGTGACTGTCTTCTCGGACCCCAAGATCCTCCAAGGCCAGGAAGCAAAATGCAGTGTCATGGATTGGCGATCCTTCAAACTTGACCGCCCCGTAAAAGGGACGAATGGCTCAGAAGGACAAGCTCTTTTCGAGGCCGAGGACAAGGGCTACAAGTGTCGACTGTTTTGGGCGCTGATGAATGGGCACCAGCTTCACCGAAGTAATGCCAAGGAGTTGGCATCCCTGACCGAGTCGCTCTTGGTGACTGACTCGAGGGGCTTGTATGATGCCATCACATCCTCCGATAGCCCTCTACTTGGCATGTCCAAACACCCGAACGGGACTTGAAGCTTCAGCAGTTCAGAAAGGCCTTCGAGAAGACGGCCGGTGCTATCTGACTTGGGTGCCATCGGACCTCAACCTGGCGGACTGCTTGACTAAGAGCACCTCCGAGGCTTTCAAGGTGGCTGCGCTGTATCATGCCAGAAAAGCTTGGATCGTGCGCTTTAACCAAGAGTTTGTCAGCGCGCGAAAGCAGCAGCGGCTTCGTCGAGAACGAGAGCTTCGCGAACAAGCTGTCCTGGTCGAGCAGCAGTTCGATGACGAGCTGATGTACGAGACTGAGGGCATGTGTGAGACACCCTGTAGGTAAACCTCAAAAGGGGTTTTGGTGATGCAACTGCAGCACAAGTTGAGCCTTCACCTTTGTGTGTCCCACTGCCGCTACTTGATGGTTCGAAGGGGCGCCCCTTGCATAGCCGAAAACGCGGGCCCTATAGTGCGTGAGCAAGCATGTGCAGCTGAAAGAAATGCGTAGCAGTAGCTCTGGCGCTGACCGCCGACTAAGTGCATGTTGTTTTCATGTCGGGTCTGGCTATTGTACTTGTAAGGTGCAGTTTGATGTTCATGTCTTAGGGGATGTGGCCTGTGTCAGCATTGCTAGCGCTGCTTCAGCTTGTCCCCCTGAACCCTGAACCCTATAGTCCCCCTTAAGTAGATAGAGTATGGGGTATATGGGGGTCTTATTATACTATACCCAAAGCCATATTCTATCTACTAAGGGGGATTATATCCCTCCAGCTTTTCTGCCTAAGGCGTGGATCGACCTCGAAGGCTGGTCTGATGCAGATCAAGGCAGGATCTGCGAGGCTTTCACCAACTCATTAAATTTCATGTACTATAGCCTAAATTCCTTGAACGGGTTACATAGGGGTTATATAGGGTTTAGGGTTTAGGGTGTAAACTCTTTAAAGTGGGTTCTATAAGGGATGATACTATAGGGGACTACTATAGGGGAGTTTAGACTACGGCTGAAATGATGCCACGAGTCCTGCCCGGTGGCGACACATCGCGTTGATTGAGTTCACCTGCTCCAGAAATAAGATGAAACAAGGAACCCTCCCAAGTATGTGTCCTGATTTTTTCTGCTTCAGGCATGTGCTGCAGCAAACCCTCACAAGATGAATTGTTTGAAGCAAGTTTAACAGAAAGCAATTTGCTGGTAACACTAAAAAGAAGAAAGCTCAAAAGCTACACTTTTTGGATGGGGGGGAGGGCCTCGCAGAGGAGGGGGGTCGGGGGGTTTAGCCATTGGGAGCCTTTGCTGTCTAGCATCTGCAACATCTACTGCATCCTTCAGTCTGGAGGTACGTAGGAAGACTGCAGTTCTGAGGTGTAGCTGCACTGTTGCAATGCAGCCTGATGGCATAGGTGAGAGTTCCGGATGGCCACAGACTCAGCATGACTTGCCCGCCAGCGTTTCAGGCAAAAGGAGGCTCTGACGCCAGGAAGGCAAGACTAAGGGGTTTAACGCCGCCACATCATGTCCAGTTCAGGCGGTGTTTTAGGAGCCCACTGAGAAATCTGGCTTCAGTGGAGCCCTCCGGGACCTCCAGCCCGGTTGCGTGAACCACGTCTAAAACTAAACCCTGAACAGCGTGAATTTCTAGAGCCCGACTTCCACAGGTTTACATAGCTGGCTCCTGCGAGCTCGCTTTGATTTATCCAAGCATCGTGGCCCGAGCCGCTGAGCTATCCGAAGAATGTTGACAACAATTAGCGTCGAGTCGAATCCCATAAACCCTCCAAACAAGCTATGCAGTGTGGCTCTACCCATCCTAAGCATCTTTACAATAGTTTTCGTTGAGTCTTTCTGCAACAACGTCACATGAGCTCCAACACTGTTCTCTAACTCAGATGGTCGCACTTGCACGCTCGCATTTCAAAAAGGGGACCCGCATCCCCCTAAGGCTGCGGAGAAGGAGACACGCTGGAGGTTGTTGCCCCAAGTCGGCCTCCCAGCCTCTGACAGGTCGAAGAGACAAAGAGTGACACCAGTACCAGCATATTGGCGACGCAAGTGAGCCTCAAGCATGTGGTGTGTGATAGAGGATGGCATTTGAAAGAGGGAATGGCCATTGTATGAAGTAGTAGGAGCATAAGAAGCAGCAATAGCTAACGGGCAAAATGCCAATCACCTCGCTCTCCAGATGTTCTTTGACAATGCGCCCCTACACTCCAAATGCAACAGCTGCCCATCCGAAGCAGTGAGGGAGTAAATTGATAAACTGGAGCAGTAGGTCTGAACAAGTCTTCAGGATGATTATATTGTCACCATGTCATTTCTTAGCCAGATTCTTGCTTCGATTCATGAGGCGGTGACCTCATCCATGTGCTGGTGCCCCCTGGCCATGGACCAGGTTCACTGCTGCGCGGGCCTTACGGCCCTACCATCTTAGGGTTTTGGGGTTATATGGGGATGATGAAAAAGAAAGTGGCAACTACTATCTAGGGGTTATTTAGGGTTTAAGGGTAGATGGGGGATTTTGCCGGGCAGCATCTTTGAAGGCACAGCACAGGCAAGGATCAGCACAAACTGGCTCAAACTGTGAGTTGACCAAACAGCGGTCAATGTGATGTTTGCATCGCTATTTTTGCACGGCTCTCGCTATCAAGTCGATTCTTGTTTGCGCATTTATGATGGCCAGCATGTACTTGTTATGTCCGCCCAATGGCAGCAGCCGTGTCTCGGCTCATGAGCAGATGGTTTAAGTTGTGGGGCTTTTGAGGTCCAGTTGCAGCCATAACCTGAAAAGTCTGCGCAAAGCCGCTGACTGCGTAGACCCGCAAGTCCAGTAACAGACGCTTTCATGCAATTGGCAATTGAAGAAGGCATTGCAAGCGTAAGCTCTCACTTCTTGTTCTTCCGTTTACAGCAAAGACGTCCAGCAGCTAGATGCCTCCAATGCTGTGATGGATGGGGTGCGGAAGCCAACAGGCGGGAATTCAGGGACCTGAGGTGTTGATACAGACAATGCAGGGCTCTTCAGGACTTCATGCGGAGATAGTTTTTTCCAGAGTCGGCAGCACATGCCTGACGCCAGTAGTTCACGATGTGCATTTTTCTTCAGGTCTGCATGTGAATGTCACGAACTTCACCAAAATGATGGTTGAATCACTTTGGTTTCCCCATTAGTTGTGCTGTTGGCAGTTGAGGGTTCTGTCCTGGGTACACTCTAGCTCAAAGGCAGTACGGTTTAGGAATTACGGTTGAGGGCTTCGGGGTCAGTGTTTAGGGCTTAGGTGTTGACCGAGATCACGTTGATTGAAGTCCTGTACATTGCAACTGGAATCAGCTGGCAAAAAGCCCAGCGCCGCCGAAATAGATTCTAGTGCATGACAATCCTCAAGCTTCAAAAGCAAATAATACAAGAGTTCCTTCCCTCAAAGAAGCCGAATTGAAAACCTCCTTCCCTGAGGCCAAGAGCCGATCACATTTTCCCAAGTGACGTCGTTAAACCAAGAGAGAAATGATTCTCCCCACATGGTCCACCTAAATCCGCAATTCTTCAAGCCGCACCACCAAGCTTAAAACCAAAGTCCCCAACATAGAGTTGAATTGGATCCGCTTTTGGGCATTGTTTGTAGTCTTACTTGGTTCAACCACCAAGAAAACACTACCCCTAAACCCTAAACCCCAATGGGCAAAGAGGAGTCTCGCGACGCTCAGCCTTAGCTGATCTGGGCAGCGCGCAACCCTGGTGGGAAACCAAGAATTCTCCTGCAAAGCGGATGGTGCAGGTCATGGGTTAGTGTTAAGCGCAGGATATTTTGGGAGTGTAGGTGGGGGGGAGTACATGGTTTAGGAACTGTTCGAGGTTATGTCAGGATTGCAAATGGGCGATATCGGGAACTCGCCACGGTTGAAGGGTTCGGTGTTTACTTTAACATGCTGGTTATGAACCCAACTGCAGGGTCAATTTCAACAGAGGTGTCTCAAGAAGGAAGAGAAGCAAAGGATTCGCAGTAAACAATGAAGTAATCAGCTCTGGGATGGGAGTTTAAATTTGTTGCTCAGGTATATAGGTCATCATGCTTCCCCCCAACCCCACAGCAGTGTAGAAGCACAGCGCCGGAGAATTGCCATTTTGCTAGCTGCTAGTTTGCATGTGACCTTTTGTCGGAGCTTGAGCTTGAGACCTGATCTTTAGACCCAAGTTACCTTTGGCTAGCTGGGAATAAGGAATCGAAAAGAAAGTGGAAACTACTACAAGCATGATGGGTTATTAGGTAGGAACTACTATAAGGATCCATTCCTTCATTCCTAGGTAACCAAAGGTAAGCCAAGCCAAAGCCCATTGAACCTTTTATGCGTAGCTGTTCAGAAAGGCTTGCAAGCCTGCATGACGTCCTTCTCCAGGCGGGTGGTCGGTGGCGAGGCGACAGGAGGGATCATCGCCTTTCGGCCAGCAATTTTGGAGGTGTCGGAGCTTGCTGTAATAATGCGATCTCTTAGAATCTGCCCTGTTGCGTTTTCATTCAACCAAGCAAGATGCATAGCCTGCACACACTTGATGAACAACCACGACGTACTTCTATCGCCTCTGACCTCATAGCGCAAGGTGGGATGAGGGATCCCCTTCTTGTGTATGACGGGTGTTGGCTGTTGTAAAGGCTCCGTTCGAGGATCAAGGGCCAAAACAACATATCAATCGGAGGCCCAGTCTAGCTTGAACAGTGCTTTGCTGTCATCAGCCTCGCATGGTTCCGAGGTTAGATCCGGGCCAGACACACATTCGTGCCTGAGCGGCAAGGAGCACGTCTTTGCCTTCTGGAACGCGAGCCTCCCTCCTTGGCCCCAGGCCCAAACTGAACGACCGCCTTTCCACTGGCGCTCTTGTCCAGGACGATCAGGGCCATGGGTTGTGGGAGGTTCCACGCACCGCCACAGGTAGTGTAGGGTGCCGCTGTGTAGCTCACCCTTCAGTTTGGGGGCACCTGTGCGTGCCGTCACCTGTACAGATTTTGAGCCGTACAGTGTGGGAGGGTTGGGTACCGCGATCTTGTTGAAGATGCTTCAGCCGTACTCCCGCCATCATACTTGTGTTCTCCACTCTTGAGATTGCTCACGAACCACTACTGTTGATGGAGGGAGAGGGAACCTTGCACCACCTCCAGTCCTTCAAGCCCCCGGAATTACGGTAGTTTAGGGGACAGGTGGCATCAGATTTTCCATCAATCGTAAGTATCATTAAAATGGCAAATCCAGCATCGCAGTTGTAGGAGGGACCCTCGCAATAATTCTCAGCTCAGTTGTCGGGCATGGCACTTGAGAAACGACAACGATATTGGCAATATTGGCAGCCACTCTAATTATCAAGTTTTGGCAGAAGTTTGGGATTTGGGCAGCTGTGATGATGGCCGAGGATAGCTGTGCAGCAAGCATCATGTTCCCCATCGTTTTGCACAGTCGCAAGGAACTGGAGATCCGCGGGGACCGGCTGCACTATGTCTTACAGGCGCAGTGGTTCATACATCCGATGTATCCACAACTGATGAAAAAGTTAAGGCAGCCTCATGCTGCCAGTGTACGAGGGCTATAGAATCAATATATAAATCCTATGTAATCCCTATAGTTTCCATTTCTTGTCCATTATCCCAATATAGCGCAGCTAAGTGGTCTTGGGATCCAACGGACTCGAGCCATAGAGGTTTTGGACCTCAATCTGAGGCCGGCCGTGGCCCAGGGACTGGCTGGGTGAGCCTCCGTTTGGGAGAGAAGGAGACCTTGAGCAACTTGTCCATAAGGGTTTATATTGGGCTTATATAGGGATAATGGAAAAGAACATGGAAACTACAGGGATTACAGGGATTATATAGGGGTTATATAAGGGATTATCTAGGGATGGTGGAAAAGAAAATGGGAACTACTATTGAGGGTTTAGGGTATTCCTCATGGTTTGTCTTGGCAGAAGTTGGAGACCCTCAGGGTTTAGAGCTTTGGGCTTAGGTTGTTGGAACAGTTTAGTAAAGCCGTTTTCGGAGAGCGGTTCTGTCAGAGTTCCAAGAGACGGATGCAGGACCTGCTGGTGCGAGCAGAGCCTGCAGACCAGAAGGAGGCAAGCAATGTACTCATAGAGTATATATTGGGCTTATATAGGGATGATGGAAAAGAGAAAATGGAAACTACAGGGATGACAGGGATTATATAGGGATTATATAAGGTTCATTTAGGGGCCCCTGCAAGAATGGTTCCACAGGGGATCTTTGTGCAAAAAAGCTCACAGAAATGGCGTGCAACAAATCCTTCAGTGAAGGGGTCTTCCAAGGTTCCCCCCTTTACTTACCCTCTCTCAAGGTCACTACTGTCTACTGCCAGATTGGCGCTTTGCCGAAACCTATTAGTACCCAGCATGGCGGTGGCACCCTGAAGTCCGTTCGCGGAAGCCATACCTATCAGCTCGCTTGTAGATAGATCAAAACGCCCCTGCAACGGTCCAAAGATGAAGTCAACGGACAGCTCACCTTTGAAATCAAGTATGGCTGCAGGGCGTGAATGCCATTGTGTCATCGCTGGCACACCCGGCGGTGCACACATCGCCGCCAGTGGCGCAGGCATCGTACATGTGCCATGGCTTCCTTTGAATGCATTGTCCATCTCGAGAAATCTTGCATGCCGAGCCAGGATTTACTTGTACATCTGCAACCTTCAGCCGCATCATCAGATGCAGCCCGCTTGAACGGCAGGTGCCCTCACCTGACAAGCCACTGAAGATGACGCCTGCAAAGGCAGCCAGGAACTTGCTGTTTTGTTTGCGTGTGGCATGGCTCTTGGTCATCACGCGTGCACACTACTTCGCAACATGCAATTGAGCTAATCGAGTCTGTCCCTGAATGCGCCACGCTCCAAGCCGTGCTCTTTATAAAAGCCCAATTGCAAGGCGGCAGCCGCATCAGTCGTGATCCCTGCCAAAGAGATGCAGGCAGATGCTGTTGCAGATGATTCATTGGGCTTGGACTGCAGAATCCGCGTGAAACGCTGCTTTTGCGGTCTTGTCGCTGGCAGCTGAGTACGTGATTGGAGCCTTTCACTCAGGATCCGGACGAAGAGAACACCGACCTTTTCTGGCAGCTCGGGAAAGTCTCTGCAGAGGCCAAGCACAGCCCGAAGCCAATCACTTCAAACCCTCTCTAGCCAAACATGCACACAAGCATGCAGATCACAGCCTTCAGGATCACCTGTTCTGAATCATGAGTCCAGCATCAGCATCAGTGGCATGCAGCCCAAGTACCGTGGGTAGAACTGGCCCTAGAACCGTGACAAGGTGTCAGCCTCACATCACATGTCTTGCGACACGACTTTGTAGGACCAGCAGCGGACGAAGACCCAGACCGAGCTTGAAGGTGCTGTGGAGTCGGTTTGTGTGCCTGGACGCTTCAGCCACTCGCCAGAAGAAGTGCTGGGTCTGTAGATTGTACCAGGGCCCCGGCTTCAGAGTCAAGGGTTATATAGGGAATACAGGGGTTATATTGGGATA